AAGCTGCTTTAATATTAAATTTGTGAGCGGATAAAGAGCTGCCTTTTTATTTTTATATCAAAGCTTCCGAAATTCTTTACACGGTCTTGATAAATAATCAGAATCAATTTCTTTAAAAAAAAAAGTTAAATTGATATAAATGAAATGTTTTTTTTTGTATAAATATTTATAATCTTGTGAATTTATTATTTTAATCGATGAGTTGAAAGTTAACTTTGCTTATTAATCTTGAACATTCAAAATGAAATTTATCAAACAAACTCGCAGATATAAATAAAAAAGAAATAATTCACAGATCACGTTGATAATTATAATTAAATAAGTTGATACTTTTCTTTTATCGATTTAAAGTCACTTTAAAGTCAGAAAGCCTTCTCATTTAATCGAGTTATATAAATGGAGTTGTTCGGGGTTGTACTCCGAAATGATAAAATGATCGATAATGTGACAGATCTTATCTTTACACAATTAATCTCGCACGATAATCAGTGCATACGTGTTGCAAACTCGATCAGCACTCGGATTGCATTAACGGGACACTGTAAAGTGTAGCGGAGACGTCATAGTCGAAATTTTAATAACGGTTAATGACGATTACCGGAGAGAAGAGGCGGCGTCGGCGCGGACTCACGAATTAAGTTTCGCATGCGTGAGCGCGTATGCGGACAATTTTTCACTTATCTCGCACATTTCATCTAACAGAAACATAAATCCGATGTTTAACCGTCGGTTATACTCGTACTGCCGCGTTCCTTTAAGTGGCTCACTCCAAAAAATATGGCCGGTACTCCCTTTTCATGTGTCCCGCCGACCCGGCGGCGTCCTTCTTCGTTCGCCTCTGCACTTCCGTCGTGTTCTTTGCTCGCGAGCGCGATTTGCGACCGCGATTAAATCCTTTTGGGGTAAATCCACGAAAATCAGTATGCGTCTCCACCGTCGCGGAACCGCGCGACGTGCCGCACGACGTGGTCACTTTGTCAAAAGGAAGATTCGGCTCTCTCTCTCTCTC